CCCCAAAACCCCAAAACCCCTTGAAATTACTATTGTTTAATATGAAGTTAATGAGAATTTGTTAAAGTTAGTTAATAATAAATTAGGCAGTTCTATGTGTAATTATGAATTTACAAATTTTATAGTGCTTTCATTACATATTTAATATTCCAGGACTTTCATTGAAAGAATACACTGAGTAATGGATTCATGTTTGGAACCTTTAGTTAGATGTCAGTATCAACTGTAGAGTCATTTGAGAAGTCTGAATGCTAGTCAAGGACATCATCATTTGGACTCTATTCTTAGCAAGGAATTTATGGCATTTGCTGGGTTAAGGTTTTGAAAAAAGATTTGCTAGTCCTTCTCTTTTGATCTGTTCTTTGAGATTATTACTTAATGTAGTTTATTTTGCCAATTTCTTTTTAGAGTGAAGGATTATCATTCTAAGTTTTACAAGAGTTGTTATCAGTCTAGTTAATATAATGATTAATAAGGGGAGATAAGTTTTAGAAATGAAGGTTTACAGTACTATTATTGTTATTATTTAGAGTTTTAGATTTTTATAATGTTTATGGAGAGTCCTGGATTCTCTGATAGATTTCGTTATTCATTCTTGCAATGTCATCATGAGATTTTATTTTATCTCTCATACTTTAGAGATTTTGATGATTATCATCCTTTATTCCTTGATAGTGATAATTAATGTGATTATTCAATAGGTTTGCTGTTTATTGAGAACATATATCGTTATTATTTTATTGAGTAATTTTTATTAGAGGTGAATAAATATTGTTAGCCTAGCTCTTTAATCTATTACTGTCAATATTTTGCAATTTGATCGGACGTAAAGAGTTTGATGTTGCCAATTTATTTTATATTTACGCAAATTATTCTTCATGCTTTATATTGCTTGCCTTACTTATATTCTAGTCATTTTTAGAATGTACATTGAGAGTTATTTACCCTCCCGATAAATTTAATTTACCTTTGTTAATTTATTTTAATTATTGATTTTTATCAAGGTTTAATGGATTAATTTTGAATTTTTGAAGAAATTAGTGCTATAACAAGCTACTCGCACTTAGTCTATTATCAGGGTCATATTGTAGACAATGACTCAAAAAATCTAAACACTAATCTGATAGATTTAGTCTAGAGTCAATCAAATATTGACTGTGGTATTAGATCTTTTTCAAGATCTATGCTTTACTTTCTCCTGTAAAAGGATAATCACCTCCTGTCAATAAACTGTACATCAGGATGCCAAGAGACCAAATATCTGCTTTTGTATCATATTCAAATCGTTGTAGTACCTCAGGAGCCATGTAAATAGGAGTGCCGAAGCAGCCAGAAATCTTTCCATTCTCATTTAGTTGCTTTGCAAAACCGAAATCTCCTAGCTTTACTCTCATTTAGTACTAATAAGCTACATTTTTCTCAGATTCTGAATTAATTTAACTTCCTCTATCTTCATTTTTAACCCATTAAATGAAAATATTAGAACTTTTAATATCTCTATGGATTATGCTTTTTTGCTCGTGTAGGTAGGAGAGAGCATCAGTTATTTAATATATAATGTCGCTTACAAGAGACTCTTGAAGTCTTCCTTTTTCCTTAATGTAACTATTCAAATCGCCACCATCGCATTTTTCTAATATTATATTGTAGAATTCTTAATTACGATATTTCCCTATTAGATTGATTATATTATTGTGTTGAAGTGACATCAGAATGCATATTTCGCTTAATATATTGTCGAGATATCCTTAAAAGCCTATTTCGCTGCTAAGTTGCTTTACAGCGAAGCTTTATCCAGCTACATCTACCTGGTATACCTTTGAGAATTTGCCACAGCCAAGCAGGATTTTCTAAATGTTGAAGTTCTCCAATTATTTTATTTATACTAGAGCCTACTGTCTCTCTTTATTGTCATTGTTGCTTTTAAACATTATTAGAAATATTTCCAAGTTAGTTTGAGATTATATTTTTTATGATGATCAGAGGGTATACTATTATTTAATTATTTCTTATCTGACAAGCCGTTCGAAATGATAACGCTTTACTCTAACTGATTTTTATCTTATCGCCTTTAATCCACACTTATAATCTAGCCACGGGGTTTTGGGGTTTTGGGGAGATCGGAAGAGCGTCGTG